TGTGTGTGTGTGTGTGTGTGTGTGTGTGTGTGTGTGTGTGTCTATTGGGAATACTGTTACAGTAAATATATACACAAACAACTCTGTTTTTGTCTACTCAAGTGAAAGTATACTTGTTGGTTCTCTAATTTATAATCATTGAAGGACTTTGTGTTCAGTCGTTATCATTCATCTTGCTTATTCAGACCACATTTAGTGCCCAGACAACTCAAATTCTGCTGATGTAAAAATTTACCTTCTGCTCCTTTTTTCATCCTTTATTTCTAATTATGCTGAAAGATACTCGAAACAATTTTGATGTAGTATTTACTGTAAACAGAAGACTGACAAATGTGTTAATTTTTGCTCTTGCCAAWCACAGAAATAAACTGGAATCTCCTAAAATAAGCCCTGACACTGCACCGGGGGGGATAAAGAAATGGATTGGAGCCAAGAATAGTAAAGCAGTGCACAAGTGTCCAGCATTTGCGTAAAAGCAAAGACACTAATCAAAACTGTAGARAACTGAGCATTCAAGCAAGTTTAACAGAAAGTCATGACTAGAATACACGTCTTCTGTGAAAGCTAATTCAGTTTCCAAAAAGCTCCAAGCAAACTGACACAATCAAAATACAAAATAAATGAATTACACTGATTTCTATTTCTTTTGAAACCAAAATGCAAAGTAAAAGTAACATCTTCAGCCTTGGGTTTTTGTGCTACAAAGGAGTTGTGCACTAACCGGTTTCAGACAGGAGCTTGATGGACTCCAGCACACGCTCAGTGTAGACTCCAGGTTCATAGTTCTCCATCTCAGCGTTAATGATGTGGACCACACGCGCAGCTCGACCCCGAATAGCTCCAGCTGTTCGGTCAAGAGTGTCCACATCTCCTTCTTGCAAAGCAATTACGCATTTGTTGACGTCCTCAAGGATGTGGTTCTCTGAGGGGGAAAAAAAGTGAATTAAAAAAATGTTTGACTGAAGGCTTTCTTTTCTTGGAGGACATTTTTTTTTCCTAAAAAAATATTTAGCTTTCATTGTAACTGGGAAAATAATTATGATTACAAGGATTGGGTAAATGTTTTCATGTTCTCTGAATGTGAGTGTGCTGCTCCGTTTATATTTGTTTTTTTGCCAATTGATTTAGAAAACACAAAACCCTATACAAGAAAAACAAAATGCAATTTGTTCGCCAAATGTTCTGTCCGCAACTTTAATAGTAAAAATGTTTTCTGTTTTTGTTTATTCACAATTTATCAATAACTTTATAATATATTTTTGTTAACTGGCTAATTGATGAAGTATTTTATATTATTATATTTCTAAATGAGAGAAACAAAAGTTTGGATCAGTATTGTCTTTTTTTGAATTTTACTCATTCAGTCTACAATGTTTAGTTTTTTGCTGCTTTATACCTGAAACTGACAGAAAGTCGTCCACAGATGTGATGTCGTCCACAGCTTCAGTCAGAATGCGCACTTGTTTTTCCCACTGATCCTTAAAAACATCCATGTTGTCCTGGGCCACCTTGCTTTGGGGCCGAGCAGCGAGAGTAAGTGCAGCATTGATAACCTGACACAGAAAATGGGTTAACGGTGTTCACTTTTACAAWATATGAACACACTCGATTCATCATATTATAGAGATAACATTAATAATATTCTTGCAGTTYCAAGCTTCCCACCCATATGTACATATCTGAGAGTGCTTTTAGAGACAGTTACATGTTTCCAGATGGCAGTCTTAATATTTGTATGTTTTCCTGATTATAAATAAAACACATTTATGTAATTATGTTTTACAAATGTAGTTCTTAGCCCAAAAAACAATGTTTTTTAAGAAAACCTGTGAAAACGAGGTGCTTTCACAGCACCTATTTTACTTATTTTGCTTCAAAAAGGACCAACAAAAGAGTAAAATTCTTATGACTTCAGCCTGAATAAAGAAGTTGCTCATATATAATAAAAATTCTTCATACTTCATAATTTTCATTTCATTAAAGAATCCACCCCCCCTCACCCGCTAGTAGAGGAAGTAAATACTACCGAACTAAATAAGAAGCAAGCTGTGATAATGATAATATTTTCTACAGGAACTGTATATTAT